CTTCCTTTCCTTCCTTTCCTTCCTTTCCTTCCTTCCTTTCCTTCCTTTCCTTCCTTTCCTTCCTTTCCTTCCTTTCCTTCCTTTCCTTCCTTTCCTTCCTTTCCTTCCTTTCCTTTCTTTCTTTTTCTTGGTTCCCAAATTTTACTGTAATCTTGTTTAAAAAGAGGAGCCAAGCCAAATGCATTGTTTGCAGGTGCTACAAACTTATATAGTGCTTTAATGATGCTTTGTGTTCTATTTTCTGTTCTGTCACTAAGTATTCCTAACATTTGATTTGTTTTTCCACTGCTACTGAACACTCAGTTGACATCTTTATCAACTTTTTCATAACATGACTTTTTCATAAGCCTTTTATCATTCTAAGATCTGAGTGGAAGCAGCTGGCTTATAAACCTATCTCTATGTCACACTCTGGTTTCCCAGGCATTGCCAAAGTTCACAATGCTTTATAGAATCAACTGGGAGTGGTACTTGTGTTTACTAGGCTTGCCATTTAGCCATGTCACTAATGGGGAGGTCGTGAGGAATGAGCTCTGGCAAAAGTACTGGCAAGTAAAGTCACTGTAGCGCCTATGTGGATAAGGTGCTGATGATTAGGGCTCTTAAGCAGAACAGAACACTTACAGCAAATACACCTTTTCTTTCACCAACATCACCCTCTGATGAAACTTTAGCAAGTCCGTCAGTCACAATTAAAGAAAGTCAGTTCCCTCACACCCCAGCCAAAACCTCCCCCTCATGCATGACACAGCCTTGATAGCCTGCAGCTGCAAATTGCAACCGACAACAGAACATTCAAACTGCAAACATGAAGCATAGCTACTGCAAGGAAGATTTACAGGCAGATGAGCTAGAAATAGCAAACACTTCCTCTTTACAGAGAATTGGTTCTATGAATCTTCTCCTAGTGACTGCTTTGTATGTCCTATTTTTGAGACTAAACTGTTCCTTGTTTATGCTGAAGTGAAATCATTTTATAGAGAGATGACAGGCATACTGTATACTAGAAGAGCAGCTGTTTGCAATATCATTTTAAAAATGGCAAAAAAAACAAGGATATTGAAAACAGCTGCTAGACACTTTCAAAAGTTATATTGTCAAGCCTCTAGACTAATTATTGAGAACACAATTCAACTTTGTGATAGATTTAAATCTTTTAAATCTTGAGATTTACTATTTATAGCAGCTGAATTAGGCTCCTAGTTCTCAACTGACATAAAATCTTCATTTTTCTGTGAATTGAAACTTATACTGAGTCATGAAAATTTTTAGTCTCTCTATATATCATTTTCCAGTGTTTTAAAAAATGTGAAATTTTGGGCTAATTTTAGGTCACTCTGAAAATAATGTCTCATATTTACTTCCATGGAAACTACAACATATACAATGAGAACAAAAACATTCTTTTAAAGAGCAAATTCTCAAATACAGAACACTATTATTCGACATAGTCACCACCATTAGCTCTGAGTTTTTGCCAGCCATGAACAAGAGCTGCATGCTATGCTCATAAATATCTGCACCAGTGGAGGTGACCTACTGTGATTGTTGGCACTGCTGAAATGCACCACTCAACCACCTGACTGTGCTCACTGTCCTCCGTAAAGGTTCAGCAAAATGTCAAATGGCAATGAGTGCCATTTTTTCTACAAGGAGGAATTCAGTGGCACACCTTTTCTTCATCTGCGCTTCCATGTCAGACGCCATTCTGTCAGACTGCCCCTCTGCTGCCATCTGTCACACAAAAAGCAATTGAACATTGGTAGGAAGGTTCAGCATCTTCTGCCATACCACCAACATCTGCTTCTGATGTTGTGTGCCTCCTGTTTATTTGTTGCATGTGATTCTCATTAATAACTTAATGAACTAGATTATTATTTTGT